TCCGCGGACGGACCGGACACCCGCCTCATGCCACAGCCCTTGGCGCAGGCCGAAAGGAGCCTTTCCACCTGTCACTCACCTTAAGGAGCTGCCCCCGGAGAGCTCTGGCGGCTGGGGGCCCTCGCAAGCTCCCGCTGGCTGTGGGTGTCTCAGCTCGAGCCCATTCGTGGCTAACGGCAGCAAAGAGCAGTGTCCTGCCGCCCCGGGGAGCCCTTGCCAAGCGCTGACTCTCCTGCTGCCCACATGCTCGCTGTCTGGGCCGGCCACACTCCCCGCTCTGTGCACACGCGTGTGCCTGTGTGCACACACCTATGTACACACCAACTATTGAGATTTCACAATTCACTGTCTTTATTCGAGGATTCCTCAAAACAACAGGCGCTGACCTTCAGGCCACTGCTTGTGCCCAATCCAACCACTGCGGGGGTGTGCCCGCTCCGACCCAAGTGCTTGCACCTCCGAGCCGGCCCTGCATCCTGCCAAGGTGCACACTCATTCTGGCCGGTGCTTTTTTTTTTTTTTTTTTAATAGAGGCATGCTTATTTATTTATTTGTTTGTTTGTTTTTGTTTATACAAGCACTGGGTACAGTCAGAAGCGCGGGAGGGTGAGAGAATTCACCAGAGCCAGAGCGGGGAGCAGAGCAGGCAGAAGGACCGAAGGACACTGCTGAGGGGAGCAGCGGGCGGCAGGAGAGGTCTGCGCGCCATGTGGGACCCTCCTCCGGTGGCCGGGGAGCAGCCGGGGGATCGAACCGGCGCCGCAGACGCTGCGGGCAGCAGCTTCGCCAGCTTCGCAACCCAGCGCTCAACCGCTGCGCCACCGGGGAGGCCCTGGCCGGTGCTTTTTAATTGGCACATGGGAGAACAGCATGGCACCCTCCTACCCTGGCCCCAGGAAATCAGAAAACAGAAGAAAAGGGGTAATCTCCCCAGTGCAGTCTCCCCCTGCTGCCAGGATGCGCATTTTGGGTCACTTCCGTCCGGGGCGGCGTAGTGGGCTGCCTCCTCTCACTTAACATTATTCCATGAGTGTTTCTCCGTGACACTAAATAATCTTTATAATTATCATTTTAACGGCCGCCCAAGTGAACACGCACCATCATTTACTCCCTGTTACCTATTGTTCCGCATTTAGTGGCTCCCATTTTTCACGCCTTTAAGCTGGAATGAACATTTTTATATAAGCGATTAATTTAAAGCAGCACGCAGAGACGACTCTCCATCACTAATCTAAAAATACAGGGTTTATATATTTACAACTCACATTTGATTATGAACTTTAATTTGAGGGTAATTAAGACATTTATATTCCAAACAGGCCCTCGACACCGAGCTCTTCCGGAGCCGGAGGAGCAAGCCTTGGCAGGTCACTGACGACAGCCCCGTGAGGCTAACACGCAGTTTGCGTAGGAAAGATAAGCTCCGTGATTTCCGCTGCCTTGGAGCTGGGAGATCAGCCCCAGGACACAGGGCGCGTGGCCTGAGCTGACCAGCAGGCCCAGCATCACAGCGCATCAGCTCAGCCTCGCCTCCGGCCAAAGCTCACAGCCCATGCCATGGCTGTGTCCTGCAGGCTCCCTGGGCTCCTGCAGGCTCCCTGGACGCCTGCACCAGGCAGCTGGGCCCGAAGGCGTGCAGCCACTCCAAGCTGTGTGACCTTGGCCAGGGTCAGGCAAATGCAGTTCCTTGGGGTGGGGAGCAGCCCCGGGCCCAGGCTTTGCAGGGACACGCCCTCTGCCTGTGACTCTGAGCCCTGACAAGCCTCAGGCCTCAGTTTCTCAATCTGCTGTAGGACAACAGTGGCCTGGTGAGGCTGTTTAGGGGGGGTCAAGGAGAAGTGAGGAGAAGGTGGCATCTGTGCACCTGCGGAAGCATGTACCTGTCGACGAGCGTCCATGTCGCCCCTTAACAGACTCGGTGCACTCGCTGAACAAGCGCCCAGAGGGAGAGGGGACGAGCCAGGCCAGGAGGCCCCGCTGCTCCCTGTTCCCTGCACAGGACCCACTGCCATTCTAGGCAAAATCATTTCCTTGATGTCACCCACAGCAAGGCCACCACCCCCAGCACGCAGTCAATGAGGACCCTGCAAAGATGTGTCCCCCTTATGTGAGTCAGTCCTGATGTCCAGAAAGTGACATCTGAAGCTTTAGAAAGTGTCTTCCAGTCAACCCGAGGAGCTCACGGCTTCATCTGCCGCCAACACAGCCAGCTAACAAGTTCCTCCGCACCGAGTCTTTCCTGTCGATGGGATGAAGACAGCCCAGCGCTGTGTGCAAGAAACAGCGACGCCGAGAAAAAACCCTAAGTAGCACCATTATTTTCACTAATAAGGAAATGATTTCTATGTACTTAGCAGCTCCCTGTAAAACAGAGCAGAGCCCTAGAATGTTTAATATTATTATTATTTTGCCGGTGGCAATTAATTCTTCTGATTTGTTTTATTAGTTTGATAGTTAGGGCCAGGATTCAGAATATCTTTCCAAACCAGCCGACTGATGTAAGAAAATTATTTCAGTGCAGTGCCTGGCAAATCGTGATGATGAATAGCGTGGTAGCACAAACTTATTCAGACACACATTTTTCAGGAGTGGCAGGGAAAAGTCTGAAAAATTACTAGTAAATTGCTTTTTGTAAAAATGCTCTCTCTTTCAAATTTTCCCCCGTCTGAAGGTCTTCTGCAGCGTGATGGCTCAGTGCCTTCTGAGCCACCTGGACCACAAGGGCAGATAAAGAAAGAAGCTAAGAGTGAGGGGAAAAGGTTTCATTTCCTTAGGGTGCCCCATGGCCTCCCTGCTCTCCCCACACTGAGCCCTTTGTAGGCTCAGCCCTTTTGAACCTCTCTGGATAAGCACGCGGAAGGGTGTGTCACCCACCCGTGGCAGGCCTGCCCGACCCAGCCGCCGCCACAGCCCCAGAAGTACACGGTCACTGATGCTTTTCCCCTCTCTGCAGAGCTGCCCAGTTTCTTGAGTTCCACTAACAAAAGTCTCAAAACAGCCTCGCGCCCAGTGAAATGTCAGAACCAAAGACCTTGCTCACGGATTGCTCCAAACTGCCCCGTTGGTGAAGGCTGAGGACTGAATGGGGAGAGGGGCAGGGCGATGCTCAGGCCTGGCCCCCAAGGGGCTCAGCGCCCACCCAGCCCCCACATGTTCTTGGTTCTTCCCTCTGCTTTCTTCCATGTCTTAACTGCTGGGGCACACACCGGCCACCCAAGAATGAAAGAGCAAGACAGTGGTTTCCAAGCTGGGGGACGGCGATGATCCCCCAGGTCCACTGGCAACATCTGGAGACTCTTCTAGAGTAGACCTTCTGACCACTGCATGGAGAGCAGGTTGCAGCTAGCAGCCTACACCCGCAGCAGGCCCCCACCAAGATGGACCAGCCTAAAAGGCCAGAGGGCCGCAGCTGAGAGTGCTGGTCTACTCAGACCCAGTGCTGCGGAGGCCTGCTCTGCTGTCCTCCAGCCAGCGTGGGATCTGTGGCCACGATGAAGGCTCCTTATCCATCAATACTAGTGGAGGTCTACAGAGTCCAGGGTCTTTGCTGACCTGCGCACAGAGGAGCGCGCCTGCCCCTCCCCAGGGGAGCACTGGGCCTCTCCTTCCTCTCTCCTGGGCCAACCACCCCATGGGTATCCTGCAACCAGTACTAATGCAGCAAGAACTAAGGGTGGAGGAGTGTCCTGCCTCTGTCTGTGGGTACCTGGTGCTACCACACAGCCCGGCCACATACCCTGAATGTGCCCCATCTTGGAAGCCACGCAGGCTGCGGCCTGGCGAGCACTGGGAGGGGGGACCACCCTGCTCAGGCCAGGAGGGACCCTCCTGCCTGCATCCTGACTTGAGGTGGGATGCTGACCAACCCACAGAGCTCCCCAAAACCGGTTTCCTCCTTGGCTTGGGAAGGCGGCAGGAAGGCACTGGCCGCTCACAGGCCCTCTGCTCGCCCATCTGGGGCACCTGGGGTAGGGACGATGGCGGGGCCTGTCACTGGACGGGGCGGCACCTGAGTGTGGCCTTGGGTCCAGGACCTGGCCTCTGGGCACCTGCCCTGACACCAGCGGCCTGCACACCCCAGGACCCCTCCCATCTGTCAGCCTCTAGAACTCGAGGGGGGCAGCAACACCCACACACGAGCCACGTGCTCAGCTGTATTTGCTGCTCTAAGTTCCACCCTCAAGAAAGTTCTTCCATGTGCAAAAAGCAGCTGTAAATGCGCCCAAAAGTGAAGGCGCTTTACCCCACTGGTATTCCCCGGGGAGTTGTTGGCCACCTGCGTCTTTTTAGTTGCATTTAATAATTCAGCCCAGGATGAATTTGCATGATTAACAAAAAGCCTCATGATTTTATTTTCTTTCAGGATTTAAATACTGAAACAACCGCCATTGTTTTCATTTTCAGAGGTTCTGATCAAAACACAAAACTTGCTTCTAGAATGAATAATTTCCTTTAAGGAAAGTATTTTCAAATGCCACTCTGCATGGAAGCAGAGAAAGGAGGTGCCAGCGCCGGGTCTGTGGATGCCGGGAAACCCATGTCCTCTCCGCGGCTGCCTTAACCCCTCAGGCGCCAGGAGCCGGGGCCCACACGCGCCCACGGTGGCCGCCAGGGAGAGTCTGTTCCAGCCCCTCCCCACGAGCATCTGATCGGAGCCGAGAGTCTTCACTGAGTCTTTAAGAGAAAATAGCCATTCTCTTGAATTCCAATAATAGATTAATCACATCATGCTGAAAAAATAGTAAAAACCCAAGCGGAGTCAGTTGCATTTGGGAAAACCATCTGCCGCCGGCTGGCGAGGGGGGAAGCAGGCGCGGCCCTTGGGAAGGCGCGTTCCCCCGGGGCCGCAGGCAGTTGCTGGTCTCTGCACCTGCCAGCGACCCCCAGTGACTTCCAGCCACCCAAGGGCCACCCTCACTGTTCGACAGTAACTCAGGCGCCCTGGCAGGCAGGAGCGGTTGGGCTGAAAGCAGGCGCGGCCACCTGTGCGCCCCCACTGACTCCCCTTTGTGTTTCCCCACGCAGGCACCATGGTCAGTAAGGAACCCGGCAAATGCACGCTGGCCACGCCGGAGAGCGACGCGGAGCCCGCCACCTGCCTGGCCCTGGAGATGAGGTACGCCCTGGACCCCGACCGGCAGATCAAGAAGCGCAACAAGGCCCTGCAGGTGCGGTTCAAGGACATCTGCGAGGCGCAGAGCGAGCAGAGGGACCCGCAGCCCGGCCCGGGCGCGCCCAGCGAGCGGCGTGAGCCCAAGCCCGCGGCCCACCGCGCCGCCTACCGCAAGTACATGACGGTGCCCGCGCGCAGGTCCATCCCCAACGTCACCAGGAGCACAGGCGTGCAGACCTCGCCGGACCTGAGAAAGTGCTACCAGACCTTCCCTCTGGACCGCAAAAAAGGGAGCCTCAAGGGCATCCCGGCTGCCGAGGCCTTTAAGAGCCAGGACAATGGTTTCGTGATGGATGCCAAGGCGCGGGAGGGGGCCCGGTGGGGCGGCCGCGTGCAGACCACGGCCGCCTTGGTGTTGCGCTCCGAGGAACACGTGAACGCAATGGGCCCGACGGGGGCCAACTGCGCGGAGCCCTGCAGGCCCCCCGAGGCCCACAGCTGCCGGGACGTCCCCCCGCAGAGAGCCTCCCGGGCCGCCCCCCAAGAGCCGGACCCCCAGCTGCACCGGAGAGCAGAGCTTGACCCCAGCACCCCGGACACAGAGGAACCCACCCCGCTGGCCCCCGGGAGGGTGTTCAAAACGGAGGTGGCCACCGTTTACGTGCCCGCCCCCGGCGGAAGGGCCTCCGAGCCGACCTTGGTGGACTCGCCCGCGGACAGCCGGGGGTCCCTGAGCCCAGCGGCCAGCGAGGCGCGCAAAGGGGCAGCGCATCTCAATGGGCTCCAGGCGCCCCCGGGTGCGGCGGCCGCCTGCTCGCCCCCGATGCAGTGCCTGTCCCCCGAATGTAGTGAGCAGACCCTGCAGACTCGAGCCCCTCCGGGCGAGGAGGGCCAGCTCTGCGGGGCGGACGTGGCCACCGGGGAGGAATGCCAACAAATCGTGCCTCATACAGAAGTGGTGGACCTGAAAGCACAGCTGCAGGTGATGGAGGGCCTGATCAGCTCCAGCCGGGAGACCATCAAGGTGCTCCTGGGCGTCATCCAGGAGCTGGAGAAAGGAGAGGCCCACCGGGAAGGGTATGTATCCTGTGTTTCCCCCCCAAGCCCAGCAGTCCCCTCCCGCCCAGTCCCCCCATCCCTCAGGCCAGGAAAGCCCCAGCAGAGCGCGCCCAGGGGTCCCTGATGGCCGGACACGTAGGTCCCCTGGTTGCCCCCGCAGGGTCACCTGCCGTCACTCTGCATGGGGCTGGCGGCCTCGAAGCCAAGTCTGTGTATGTTTTGAATGAACTGCTGCGTCTTTCCTGCGCATGTGCTGGGAGGAACCGTGCGCGGTGTTGATAAGGGGTCGCTCGGGTCCAGTCCAGAATGTCTAATCTCAGAAAGAGGCTGCTCGTCTCTTAGGAATCATCTTGTGGAGAAGTTCGGTGGCTCTGAGGAGCAGATGGGGCTGGCTGGGCTCTCCTCGTCCTGCGCGGCTCGCAGGACCTACAGAGCAGCAGTGTGGCGTCTCCCCTCGCCTGACGCAGAAGCGAGGTCTGTTCTAGACCAGCCCTGCCTGAGGGCGGGGGCAGAGGGTCTCCAGGCCTTGCCCTGGGGGTGCAGTTGGCTGCAGAGGACGGTGCCGAGTTAGCCTGATGACAGATCACATGGCCTTGTTTCCCATCTTTTGAACTTGAAATTGTGCAGCAGCAAATTTAAAAACAGATGCCCTAGACACAGGACAGTCTTGAGTCCCGGCGCTGGGACTGGCGACTTGGGCCAGGGAAGGAGCTGGGTCCCCCTGTACCTGCCTGCACTCCTGGAAACGGAGCCCAGGGCCCTCTGGGCCTCTCTCCCCCTGGCAGGCCTGGATTCCCTTGGCCCGTTGCGCAGGACAGGCTGGGGCAGTGCCCCCTGGCCTCGGGTGACCACCGTCCTGCCCTCTGTGGGCTCCTGCCCCAGGCTGGGCGAGCCGGCAGCTGGCATGTAACAAGACAGGAGACGCACTGTGGGGGCGGCACACAGCCCACGCCTGCACACCCGCCCTGCTCGCGACGCTGTGGCTGGGTCACATGGCCGTGCTGTAAACCGCCAGGTCAAGGATGCTCCAAGGCAGCAGGGAGCTCAGCTGCAGCTGACCCCCCCCCCCCTGCCGCCCCACACCCACGTACAGTGCACTGCATGCAGGTGGCCGGTAATCGTAAGCAAGAAGGGCTGCTGGCCGGTCCCAAGCAGCCCACAGCAGATGAGCAGGAGACTGACGCTAGCGTGTTTTCAGCCTCGGGTCTGCATCGCATTTTCATCCCATTTCAGTCATTTAGACTCGAGTATGTGATTCTCCCATGAGGACCCAGAATGGGCTCTCGCCCAGCTGACCACACTCCCGTGGAGACAGAGGCCAACCGGCACCCCTACTGTCGACACTGCTGTAGTGAGGGCACCAGCTGAGGGAGGCACCCACATTACCAGCCGGAAAATAAAATGCACCCCAGGTCATAGCGCCCAACCCACGTGGCCGGGCTGGAACGTGCTGGAATAAAACCTGAGAGGCTGAGCCCCGGGTCAGGCATGGAGACGCCTCCTTACACTGGGAGACAGTGGGGACCTCAGTTTCTCGGTCTGTCAGTCCAGGGAAGGGGTCTCTGGCTTGTGCCCAGGTGGGGTGCTGGTCCGGCAACTCGGGCAAGGGCTGCGCCTCGTTTCTTCACCTGCAAGTTGGACAGCGTGACCCACCTTGCAGATGGGGTGTGAGGGTGACATGGGGTGACCTTCAGAGCACCCACCCAAGGCCAGGGCCATCTGGATGGGGTGATGCCTGATAGGGGTGAGTGATCGTCTTGCTGGCAGCAATGTGGGGCACCGGCGTCTAGGGGACACTTAGCAGCTCTGTGTTGGGGACCCTGCTATCAGTCACAGGCCGCCCTGCTCCCAGCACTGTCCTTAAAACCCCTGAGTTCACTGAGGTGGCACCGCACGTGGCTATTGAGATTCAAACTCCAATGAACTGCGAGTGAACATGCAGCTCCTGTGCCCGCTGGCAACACTTGGGGCAGCTGCCGCCCAGAGCAGGCGCGTGCCAGCCACATGCCCTTCACACTGGGGTCCGACGGGGCGGAGCGGCTCGTCCCTAGGGACCGGGCCTCCAGAGGGGGAAGAGGGCTTGCTGCTTGGACACCAGCCCAGACAGGCTCATAGCCCAGGGCCGGTCTCTGTCCTGGTGGGGGCACATCTGCCCCTGAGCACCTTGCTGCGCCCTGTCCCCAGGTAACAGTGAACCCAGTAGCTTGACCTGGGCCACGCTGATGGGGCCCCTCTTGCTCAAGGTCTGGGGTCATTAACTTGCCCCAAAGTCAAATTTCTACGCCCTTTCCTATGTCAAACACATGAGAGGTGGGCAGATCCCCCATCACTCTCCCAGCCCGGCCCCTCAGAGTCAGGCAGAGCTGCAGAGACTGCTTACAACACGCCTGGGACCGGCCTTCGCTGGCCCCCAGGGTGGCTGTAGCACTGCTGAGCCCGTCTCAGCCAGCTCACAACATCCTCAAAACCTAGCATTTTGCTCCTCCCAGCAAAGGCTTCCCCAAGGGCGAGGCCAGGACCCCGCTGGGAGGAGGAGCTCCTTGTCGGGTGTCCTCAGCTGGGCTGACTAACAGGAGCTGTGGTGGAACCAGGAACGCACAGGCCTTTTATCTGATGTACTTAATTTGCAACAGGAAGTAGGTGTTTTCATTAAATCTCCCGGTACAAAACAGCAAAACTCACTCTACAGCACGGGGGTTATTATATAGTCATTATGTAACATGACAGAGAATGTCATGCCTAAGTTAAAAATACCCGTGGCGTTTTCCGTGGGAAATATTCTAAAGTCGATGAAGCCTTCACAGTGGGAAGTGCACAGGCCTGGGCACAACCCTTTCTGCACCCCTGGGAAGCAGAGGGGCACCTGTCTGGCCTGGAAGTTCCTGCATGAAGCGTCCAGAGAGCACACTGAGGAGCGGCGACTGAGAGCAGGTGACAGGTTTCCCCGTGTCCACACGACACGGTGGCCCGAGCCGAAGGGGTGTGCGGCTCGAGTATTACACCAGGGAAGGCCGGGAAGGACGTGCCCTGAGCGGGGCTTGTGGGTCCTGAAGTCCACTACAGAGAACCCTGCACAGGACTCTGTTCCGCAGCGGAGTTTGTGCAAACTCCCCGGTGACCCACGGGAACTGCAGGATCGGGCTGGCCAGGCGAGCTCTCTGAGGTCATTTTGACTCGAGGCAAAACTTCTGTGTCATCAACCACGACCACATGCAGGAGCTCCCAGATGATATTTCATGATATAAATATATTTATATTCATTAATCCCGTCTGCTTACATAGATTTCCAAAAGGCCTCGGCAGAGGAGGTTCTCTGCGCAGGCGGGTTACTGAGTCCTGGTCAGTTTCTAGGACACGGGAAGCTCAGACCACCACAGGCCACCTCCGGAGCTCCCGGCAGGAAGACACACTGGACAGGGCGGGCCTGAGGAGCCCCAGCAGGATGCACCCATAAGCAGGGGCTATGTGAGGCCCATTCAGCGTCAGGCCACTTGGAAGGTCCAGGCAATTTGTTGAAGCCGCTGGCTTTAGGCAGCGCAGATGGGGTTTGCTCGATCTGCCTGCGTGGATGCCAAGAATTGCCTGCTTATTCCCAAGTCCTCAGTATTATTCTAGTCTCTTCCCAGGAAGTTCAGGGTCACAGAGGCCCCTTAAATAAGCCACTTCTGCAGCCGAGGCAGGCTGAGAAGGCAGATGCAGACCGAGTGAAAACCCCAAATCCGTAGAACAGCTGGAGTCCCCAGTGGACACGGGTGGCAGGGCAGGGGGCCTGCGTCCCCCAGGCTGCGGGACTCACGGGGCAGTCAGTGGCCTCGGAGATGCACGCCCGGCAGGGAGACAGCCAAGGTCCCCACACAGAGTGTCTTGAAGGGCTCAGCAGCCGGTGACAGCCTAATCATACCCTGCTGTTCGGAGAAGGCCTGAAAACAAACTCAGAGGCGTGCCCCATATACGGTCCAGGGAGGGCAGGGTCTGCAGAGCCCCGAGGGAAGTGTTCATCACTGCTCCCCCAGCACCTGCCGCATGACCTGCAGGCAGGACAACGGGGGCAGCAAAGCCGGCGTAGACAGTGGAAATCAGCAGCTCCGCGGCTCTGCAGCTATGCAGGCTCAGTGCAAACCCGACGCCATCCCCGACGGGGAATTCCTGGACAGCAAACCAAGCCCAGGTGACAGCTGCCTGCAGGGAGGGCCAGAGGGCGGTGAGTGGCAGTCTCTCCTCCAACCCTGCTGCCCCTCCCAGGGTCTTCATCGAGATCCTCTTCAGGATGTCCCGGAAAAAGGGTTTTCCTCCGTGGTGTAAGGCCGCTTCTCTTGGGTCCAGAGGCATGGAAAGAAAAGCGCAGCCAGAGTGAGCCCCGGGATCGGGAACCCCGAAGGCAGCACCCAAGGTGACTTGGGAGCAAAGGAGATGGAAGGAAAACAAGGCAGGAGGTGGCCGCCCAGGCTCACATCCTGCAATCAGGGGCGAGCTGGGCGCCGTGAGCCAGCCCAGAGTGGCCAGTGCCAGCCAGTGCCTTCTCAGGGGCACGGGGCACTGATTTTGAGGACGTCAGGGTGAGCTGCCTGCAGGGCGGATGTCAGCCACTTTGTCCTGCCAAGGGCCAGCGGTCCTGGAGGCTGTGCCGTGCTGCCCCCTCCGCGGTGACCCAGCGCCACCCCCGTGGGTAGACGCAGTCCTGGCAATCCCCGCATGAAGCCCTGCATGTCCCCTGAAAGTCCATTGATCAAACAGGTGGCGGCAGACCTGGCATGAGCCGCTGCTGGCCGACTCTGGCTTCGTGGTCTTGTAAATGCCGTGACCACGCTCACTGGGGCGGAACACGGTGCCAGGGGTGGGGCCGCCAGCCGGGACACCCATGTGGGGTGTGCTCCAAATGCATGCACCTGCCAGGCACAGCACCCCCGCCATGCGGGCACTTCCTGCGAATAAGGCTCCGCCGTCCTGCCCGGGGAGATGAGAGGCCACGGTGTGTGTGGCCTGGGGGCCACGCACCTGCTCCTCCGAGCCGAGCTGCT